TTCAAATTCATCTGCAGTTTGCATCTATACTATTATCCATAGTTAACGAATTGTTATATATGGGAGCAGAATCAGAAATTTCAAATTTTTTTTGATCTAAAATATAATTGTAAAATATCATATTTATTATTCCAAAATTGAAAGTCTTTTTCAGTTAATGAAAAATTGATGATTCTAAAATCTTTCTATAAGAGGTAGAATATATTTGAATTTAAAATAGAAAAAACTCTTTGATTGAAGTTATATCCTTTTCTAATTAAGGTTCTTCATATAGCAATGGGACAGGATGAATAGCATTATTTAAAGCTCTTTAATTGAATTATTGCAAGTAATTAAAATAGTGATTTTAAGTTTAAAGTCCATTCCTTCTATTATTATATTGTTAGATTACATTTTTGTTAATTAAGCGTAATAATTCTTCGGGTGATTTCCCCTTTTAATAACATTAAAATAAAATGGAAACTATTCCTTAAAATTATCTTTATTATTTTTATCTTGTAACCACTATTCAACAATTTACTAAATTTTATCTTAAGAAATTGCAAAGTGTAATAAATTACTACATAAAGATTTACACATATTTAGATTTATACTTATATAAATTACAATATTATCATGCATCACTTGCTAATAAAACTGGATAAGCGGATGTATTTTTTTCCGAATCGTTTATCTGAATAATACTCTTTCTAATTCGAGTTTAGTCTTCTTCAATCTTTTCTCTTAAAGGCTGGTGTAAAGTTTCTCTTAAAGGGAACAATAGTAAGGAGCATAAAATACAAATTACCCCAAAACCAATCATTGGATGAACATTTAGAGACGAGCATAAATTACTTAAAAATGCTTAAGCGATACTGCCAAAAGATCCTCCAGCAGATATTAAGCATAATGCTAAAGATCTAACAACAGAAGGGAATAATTCAGACACATAAATATATCCTAAAGCCCAAACTGCACAGATCAGAAATCTCATTAACTATTAAGATTATTTAATATACATACTCCAGCAAAAATGCCTTCAAAGATTCTAAAAACTATGTGATCGCTTTATAGAAGGAAATATAAGCTCATAAGTCCTACAATGAAGAAACCAATTATAATGTTTGTTTTTCTTTTCATTTTTGTTATAAACAAGTCTAACAATAAGCTAATAGAATACCTAAGGTTGCAAAAGCTAAGAGTTCAAAAAAAGCAATAATGAAATTAGTAGTGAAGAAATTGAGACCCAATTGATCACTTACAAAACTGATTCCATAATATGTCACCTTAATTGCAAAAAACATCATCACACCAGCAAAAAATACATACCTTAAGGACTTATATTTCAATAAATCCAAGATTGAATATACTCTAGAATTATTTTCTTTAGTTTATGGGTTCGATTGCAAATCATCAATATTTATTGGTTGAGTTCCATTTAGTTTTGCAATTTAATTAAGAACCTTGACACATTTTTTCTTATTTTTTGTATATAGAAACTATGGAGATTCAAATATCAACAAGCTGCCAATATTTAACAAAATGGATGGAATTGCAACTGATATTGCAAGCAATCTCCAATTAGTAATAAAATATGCTAATGCTATAATTCCAAACTCGCCCAAGGCAAAAAATACTTAGACTCCAACATTTTAGATTTCTCGAAAATGGCCTTCTATATAAAATTTTTGATATAAATAACTTACAGGAATGCTCATTAATAAATGAATAATGTACAGTAATCGTTGGATTACCACCAAACCCTAAGAAGAACAGTCCTATGGCTATCATTTAATAATTCATTGCAAACTTAAAAATTATACATAAAATATACAGTAACTATGAGGGCTCCTAATGAAGTCATAGACCAAGAAATTGACATTGACATTTTGCGACCATAGTTATCAGCAATGAACGAGAATATTATCAACCCAGATACAGAACCAAGATAAACAATAGATTAAATTATTGATTATAAGGTTTTGTGGCAGGGTAACAAAGCATCAAAAGCTGTGTTTAATGATTCACCTACTACAAATTCTTAACGAAATGAATCATCCTAAATTATTATAATCATGTACACAAATGTAAGACAAACACTTTTCATCCAATGATTCAGATGTACAGGAGTTTAGACATTCGGCATTTGACTAACAATCCACTGTCGGTTTGATAAAAAAGAAGACCGGTGAAAACAAAATCCAACTAAAAATTAATATTTCTTTCTAACCTAGTTATCAGCCATTACAATCCAAATATTAAGAAGGCTCTTTTTTAATAAAAACCTTCCCCACCAACTTACGTCAATGCCTCATCGTAAGTCAATTATTTTTAGTCTGTGATTGCGGATTCTTAATGTACTTGCATAATATTAATGAAATAACATCAATTGATCAGGATATAAGCCTTAAATGAAAATTGCGTAATAATAGTCGTAATGAAATTATAATGTATTCCTATAATTTATACAAATTTAATAATTTTTAAGTCTTAATCATCAAAATTTACTTCTTTTGTTGAATAAATTACACTTAAGATATGATCAGAAAACATTACATCATGAGATTTTAGGATGGATTTTCATTTTCAAACAATTATTATAAAAACGAAATAACATAAGTTCATGCAAAGATTCAAAATATGTCTTTAATGTTTCTCTTCAGTATTCAAATTGTCATGATAGATTAATTAATTATATTAAAAATATCATTTTGGTTAAATCATTTAATTTCTAACGATGACGCAAATATTTACCTTAACAAAAATTATTATAATTTTTAATTAATTATTTTCTAGATATTAAATTTTTTATTATTATTAAATAAAACCTTCTATGCCTATATTTCTATTTCACTATTTAATTTCAATCTATGAATTGATTAGTTTAAAGGATGGTGATACTACATTTAAACCTCAAAAATTTTAATCTCATATACACTATTCATTGAAATTCTTATTTCTAATGAAAATTATGGGTTTTACAATTATAAGGGGAAAAATTGAACTTTACAACAAATTTTAAATTTCAAATTCGTTTATACTTATGAAATTTTAACCATATTTATATAAAACAGATTTTTAGATTACATAACAAATGTGATACTAACTATTAACAACAGGGACAACCTGTAAAGTAAAATGCCTAAGCGAATGTCTAATGTTATTATTAATTCAAATATAATAGTGATAATTTCAAAAACTGAACAAAAAAGTTGGCTTTAGTAATGATACTATAAAATAATAATGTATAAATTTATCTGAGTTCTCATTTAAAATATAAATAAATGAGAACTTAAATTTGAGTGTACTCCAATTAAGAATTAAACACATAGAAACTATTTAACAACATATAGTTCTAGTCATGTATTTTTTACTATGTTTGTTTTAACTTGGAATTATTTATAGGTTTATTCAAAATAACTGAAAACGATATCAGATGAACATAATTAATATAAATTTTTTAATGAAGAAAAATACAATTCAATAACTTAGATTTAGATAAGGCCTGATGATTTATATAAAGGCAAATATGAATAAGTATTGCTTTAGGATTATTTTTGGAACAGATATTTCTAAGCTCAATCCTACTTACTCTAAAAAAAAAGTTAATCAAATACTCAACTCATGTTACATTTTATTCCAAGAGACACATCAAAAGAACTTCCTTATTCATTGAATAATTGAGAATAGATCAAATATTTATAGTGGTTTGAAATATAAAAATCTAATAGTCAATAATTATAGACAGATAGATATTAATCTGGAAAAGTAAAATGTTAGAGGATAATGGTGGGTGGTAAGCATAGCAGAAATTTAATTTAATCGATTAAAGTAAGGTTTTTGGAAAGAACGATAGAGAATTAATGGACACATCAATCATTTTTGATATTAAGCATATCACATATAAAATTGGACAATATTAAGATGGCAAGAGATTTGGCATTTGGATATATGTTATGTTTAAATTTCAATATTATTAATAGGATAGAAACAAATTAATTTTTATTTTGATTTTTCTTTTTAGGTTTGCTTTTTTTTTATTCATATTATATTACATTTTGTTATTTTCATTACTTTAATAATAAATGATAATGTAAAATTCATTTATATTTTAATAATTTCTTAATTATAATAAATTTTCCAAAACATTCAAGTTAATCTTGTTTCTTTACATTTTCATTTTCTTTAATTTTCTTATTCTCTCCAAGTTATTTTAATATTATCTCTTTATTAGTAAGATTATTTACAAAATTAACTCTCATTTCATTAAATGGATTGATTTTTATGGATAAGGAGCCAAAATTAAGTTAAAGTAAAATTATTCAAATACTCCATAATACCATATAGAAATTAAAGATTTAAAAAATATAGTATATTTATATTCCTTTATAAAATGTTTAATGAATAAAAACTAATCAATTACGTGTCTATCATTACATTAGTTATAATTACTTTAAATTACTTTTTTCAAATAAAATTAAAACATAATTGTTGATTTAAATCAATTATTTGCTCTAATTACTAAGAAGGAATTTTATTATCAGCTACAAAATTAGTTATGTTTAATATTATTGATTGCAGTCATATTTTCAATAAATAGTTCAAAGAGATCGTTTATATACTGTAAATTAAAGTCAACTTAGGTTGGGGTGTGATTTCTTTTTGTCCTACCAGAAATTTTTTTAATTATTTGGATTAACTTATAGTCTTCTAGCTAATTTCTATTCAGCATTTTCGAAAAAGGAAAATTAATTCTAAAATTTCAATAAAAATATCATTTAATAAAAAGACAACCAAATACTTGATCATACATTTAGCCTAACGACCAAGGTAATATAAATTATTGAAACAAATAAGAAAGCAAATGATACTAAATTAAACATAATTAATTTAAAAAATAATATTAAATTAGTAGATTTGATATTCTATGTTTCAATTGCATTTATATGAATTTGCTAGGTGAATATTTATAAATAAGTTCAGTGCTAATATTTTGTAATTTTATTACAATATTGAAAATGGGAATAGAATTCTAATTATTATTTTATTTTTAAAAACTTGAAAAATATACTACTATTATTATTTGTTTTATGATTTTGATTGAATTATAGTTGGATTAAATTCATTATTTATTGGTTGATTTTTCACTTAATAAACATATGCCAAAATGTTCAAAATTATAAATGCAACATTGGTCAAATGGAGACAAAATAAAAACTGTTCGTTAGGTTCAATTTGTAATTGCAATTCTATAATGAGAGATGCTAATTATTACGATTGTTTAAGTGAAACACATTAAAATGCCATAGTTATCGCGTTGTTTTTAAAATGCATCCCTTCATAAAGTCTTGAAAGTACACCAATTTAAAGCAGTCTAAAGCTCATATATCATTTTAAAATAACCATAAGGTAATTGTAACTAACAGAATCCATCAGTAAATATTGATTATTAATAATTCAATTTCGGTTAAAAATTGACACCTTTTTCATTTTTTTTAAAGCTACTTTTTTTTTTAATGTTTTTTAATTTTCATCTTTAATAATCTTTATCAGCAATTTCTTACTATCTAACTTCTCACAATTTAACATTTTCAAATAAAAATTAATAGTATCCTAATTTTATACATATTTCTCTATTTAATAATATTAACAAACTGGGATAGATGTTGATTTACTTTTTTGAAACGAATAAAAAATCTCGGAAAGTAGTATTTTAAGGTTTTTATGGAGACTACAATTTAAAAAGACAATTTGATTTCAAGATCTAGTGACTTAATAGAAGAAAAAATGTCTGACTAGGAATCAATTATAGCAAAAATCAATTTCGTGAACTAATGGTGGATACATTAGTAGGTATCTTGTGAAAAAAAAGTGAAATCGAAGGAGAACTCAAAGAGATTAAAAATGTCGAGAGTTAACTAAGACCAGCTCAAATGGTAGGTACAGTAACCAATTAATGAAAATAATAGTAAATAAGATTATATAAAGTAATTAAGGATCCAGATTATGTATGGAAGAGATTTATGACCAACTTAAACTAAATTAAGAGTGGCTAGGATCAATTTAACTGAATAATGTTTGTTCCTTGTATTTCAGAGCCATTAAATAAGTAGAGATATTTAAAAAGTGGCTGTTCAAAGTGTTCAAAGAGATACAGATATTCATAAATATAATATTATTATTATTTTTGATTTCTCAATATCTTTCCATGTAATTATTAATAATTTTCTTTTTTTTTCCATTTCTTTCCTTCATCTGAAACTAATTTTTTAAGTAAATTGCCGTTTTTAAGTGTCCATTTCTGTATTTTTTTCTTTGGTGTATTACTTGTAGAAAATCTTGAACATTAATCCAACACAACTAATTTATTTATAATTTTAATGAATTTTATAAAGAAAAGGAAACCCTTATCTATCATATTTAATTCCTTACAATAAAGCATCTGAGTTAAATCTCCATTTTCGTTCTCAAACATTTTTAAGGGTGGTTTTTTTCTATTATTCAACAGGAAGATTTATTCCAAGTTTTGCTAAAAAGTAAGACAACTCTATAGATATCGTAGTTTGTAATATAGTGGATGTATAAAATGTATACTTTGAACAGATAAAATAATTCACAGATAAGATAATATAATTCTTCATTGAAGCAATCAAATAATTAAATGTATCAACCCATTCGATCTATTGATCAAAGTATATTGATCAGAGTTTACTTTATAATAAATAAAAAATTGTGCATTTGCCCTTTGAAATTTGGGAATTCTCAAAATTATTTTTAAATTGTTAATATTTAAGGATGCAATTAAAATAGACTAAATTGATATAAAATTTAAATTTGTTTTTCACAATTTTAAAAAAAGAGATTTATAATCTCAAAATGTTGTTTATTATTCTCCAATAAAATCTTGTTTTATAATGCTTAATCTTGAGCTTGATATTATAAGGAATTATCAAATGATTAATGGAAGATTAGTAATTCGTTGAAATTATTTTTTTCTAAATATTCAAAGATGATTTTATGTAAAATTAGGGATTCCTGAGATATCTTCGTTATTATTTTGATAAATGTAATTTTAAATTTCAATGAAACAATATCTAAGGAATGTATTGAAAATTATTATTATCAAATGTTATTTTTGGCCACATTACATTTTTATCGATACAATCCTCCATTCAAGTTTGATTGTATCCAAATTTCATTTAATTTAAGTGATATTTTAATTAGATGTATTTTTTTGACTCATTTCTATCACAATATATATAATCCTTAATTTGAATCTTTATTGTTGATTAAATTATTTGAATATTGAAGTGGTGAAAAATGAAGATAAAATACATTTTTAAATTATTCTTCATATTCAAAATATATTGAATTCTGTGTACTATATTAATATAAGATATTCTATAAGACCCAAGCTTCAAAAATACTTTTGCAGATTAATGTGATGTAAAACCTAGAATTTTTCATGATTATGGTTTAAGGTTTTCTAATAAAATATTATATAATTAATAATGAAAAGACACAGCATTGGAAAAAAGTTTACAAAAATAAAAGGATTGAATAAAACTGATCCTAATGCAATAGTTCCAGAAACTCCTAAGCTAATTGAAGATTTTATTTAATCTCTTAATTCTTAGGGAGCTGTTATCAATAAAGTGAAATATGCCATTTTTTTAACAAAAAATGGGTTAAAATATCCTGGGCTTATTGGTATTTAGTTTTTGTTAGGTTAGCAACTGAAAAAATTGTACCAAATGACAACCTTGTTATTTTACCTCGAGAAACATTATTAACTACAAGATAAGCATTTGAATCTCCTTTAAAACCTATGTTTCTAGAATTTCCATAATTCTTTAGTCCTAAATTTATGCCCTCCTGGTAATACCACATAATTTTATCATTTTTACTCTATGAATATTAAAAAGGTGCTGAATCAAAATGGCATTTATTAATCAATAATTTTCCAAAGGATATTGATTATGCAGTATTTTGGAAATCTGAAGATTTAGAACTATTATAAGATAAAAAAATGGCCAAGCATGCTATTTAAAAGAACAGATATCTTATTACTACCTTTCAAACTCTCTAATACATCACTAGCAAATTTCCCGATCTTTTTAAACCAGAGGTTGTTACTTTAGAAAATATTATTTGGATTTACACAAGTATTGTAACAAGATGTTTTGGAGGTTAAGGTTTGAAATATGTTACAATGGTACCTTTTTGTGAATTATTTAATCATGAAAGCGCTGATGTTTGTTATGATCTTTAATAAAATGATGGTAGAACAAAATATAATTATGAATTTATGACTTAAAAGTTAGTTAAAGATTAGAAGGATGATGATGAATTGTCAATCTAATCTTTTGACAATTCATAAGGTTCAGAAGATGAAATTAGTGACTCTGAATTTACAACTGGTGAGTATAATGATTACTAAGAATTTGATTTTGATGAATTTCATGAAATGGCAATAAAAAATTTTACGAATAATCTAAATCAAATGTTAGAAATCTTAACTCTCTAAAATTAAGTTTAAGAAAATATGAGTCAAAAAATGAAAGTGATCTAAGAATTTTCAATAAGAATGAGAAAAGAATTAAATATTAAACTAAATATACAAAGAGATATTTTCTAATTAGCTATAGACTGTAAATCAATGCTATTTTAACACCTTGATTTTGGGGATAATTTTTCTATATTTTTTATCGGACAGATTTTCAATATTTTGGATAATTCACTTAAAGAGTATTTTGAAGAACAGATATCTTCATTTAAGGCTAGAGAAATCTTTGCTAGAATGGAACAAATTTGTAGTAGTTATTTAGATAATTGGTATGCTTTTAATAATGTTGTTAAAAAAAGCCCTATCCAATAGAAAGTCAATACATTTTCATAAAAATTAGGTTAGAGACCGATAAAAGTTTTACCAACAGTTGAATCAATTTTAAAATAGCCAGTTGATCGTAGTGCCAATTATTATTAAAATGTTTGGGAAAATGAAAATTTCAAAAATCTATTAATGAGAACAAGAGATTACTTTGAAAAAGGATCATAAGTGTATTTCTGCTATAGTTAATTGTCAAATAGAATGATGATTCTCAAATATGGAATGGCTTTGGAATACAATAAATTCAACAGTTCTTTTTTGAGGGTTGAGTATCTAAAATATCTTTAGACAAAGGAGGCTTAATGGATTGTTCATAGATTTAAATTAGATAAATTTAAAAGATTTAAGTTAAAATTTATCAAACCTCCTTATGAGTTGATAATATTTTGTAAATTAGTCTATTGGTATAATAATAAAAATATAATTAGGGATATAAATATACATTCTGTGGATACTATTTTTAAGATATAAAACCTGAAATTAGAAATAAAAGCACTTAATTTGGCACTTGAAATTTTAGTTGAAGAAAATTCAAAATTCACAGATAAAATCGAAGTCCTTGAAAAATAACTTTATGATAAATCCTTAGGGTACCATGAATATTTTGCTCTAATCTACAGATTAGAAAGATTAAGAATCTTTAGTTATAATATTAAGTATTTAAAAATATTGAAAATAGCTTAATCAATATTATGATAATTGTTATTGATAAAATCATAAATAGAGTACCATTTGAATAGGCAATAGAGAAAACATAGTTTGATTTCGATTATTATCTAACAAATCGTTACACTTTAAAGAGATATTTTGATGAATTGAAATGTTCTCTATATGAATCATCATGATTTATTTTAGTGCTAAGATATACATAAATTATGAATTTACAGATATAGGAAATTAAGAATCTCAAAATAATCGAATATCTAATCTACTAAATATATGTCTTTAATTGAGTTATTTATTTTCCTAATTTAATTAAGTTAATTATATCAACAATACTTTCAACTATAATAGAGGCATACATAATTCTCTTTGATTTAAATCACCAAAAATATTGTGTCTTGATGTAAATCCGATATTGTGATTTTAGAGATCATAATGCGTTTTTTATAAAAGATTCATTAGTTTGCATTCAAATTTTTTATCAAATATATAAATAAGTTTTGAGTGTATTTTATCTAAAATTTTCTTAAATAGCATTTCTAAATTGGTGGCCATATCCACACTAAACTTGTATTGTTCACCAAGTCTAAATAATCATTTGTATTTCAAAAAATTGCAAGCATAAAATCAATATAATGAGAATGTTAAAATGGCACAAGATTTGCACAAATTGTTGTTATTTATAATTGAAAAATAATCCGAAAATTTATCATGACAATCTACTTTAACAAAGGATAAAAAATAAGAAAATACCCAACATTTTTTTAATAAATAATAGATGATAGGATAGAGTTTTGAGAATTATATATTTGCATTAAAACATAGAATTGACTATTAATTTAATAAATTATAATGAATTATTTTTGAGAATTAATGTTATTATAATTATTATTCAATTTTACAAAATAAATAAAATTTATATTTAGGCATTTGATTTTTCTTGATTTCTCTTTATTTATTTAATAATTATCCTTTTGTTATTAACATGATTAAGAATATATCTTCTTTTAAAAATATAATTAGTTATTTAGAAAATAAAAATATTTGACAAATTATATTGTTTGATTGAAATATATCTCTTTTTAAATCTTGTACACACCCTATTTTTATCCTTACAAATCTCCTTTTTCTCTTCCTCTTATTACAAATTATCTGATAACATTTTTTCAATTCATCGCTCGTTAAATTTTTATTTCAATGCTGCGTTTAATCATTATCAATATTTTTTCTTTTCTCAAACTTCTTGACGCTCAATTTTGTTATAATTTCCCTTTTAACTAAAATTTCTGATAGCGAATTTTTAGAAGTTAAATTTATTAGCCCAAAAACCCACTATGAATATCAATATAAATTCGTATTTATCACTTATTATTCATAATTTTATATTTTTGATAATTATTAATTAATTCTCACTCAAGATTATTTAGATTGGGAGATTTTATTGAATGTTTGAGAAAGTACATACTTAATTTCAAAATCCCTGATCCCTCTAACATTTATATTTTTGATTATTAGAATAATTATTGTACCTAAAATACTTTAATAAAATGTTCATTGATATTTAAATTGAAAAGATCATAGTCTAAAGTAATAAAATAATGTAATTAAATTTTTTTACTTATTGATAGTGTTTAGAGATATTTATTTTATCTATTAAAAATTAAAATTTGAATAATTATGTGTTTTTTATAATATTTTTCAAACCTTGACTTATTGGGCAACAATAGTATATGCTTATGTAATAATTTTAACTTCATTTTCCCTCTTAGCTGACCTTAGATTATAATTTGATTGGACTATTTCCCTCTCATTTCTATATTATTATAGCAAATCTAATGCAATAGGTAAATCCTTTTAGATTTGATTTCTGCTTTTCGTAGATAATGCCTTTTTAGATGATTGAAATAATATTACATTTTCTTCATTTCTTCTTTTTAAGGTAACAATTGTTCTTGAATAATCAGCACTGAGTCTTTCTCTAACTTCAGTGACTTCTTTAAGTGTAACTTCATAAGATTATGTAACTTTAGCAACGTATTCATTTGCACCTGCATTTATGCGTTCCTCTTGGATCTCGAATATTTTCAAGCAATTAAATAATTCTAGTAACAGTGGGAACATCAAACCTTAAATAAAATTTTGAAATACTTGGTAGTTACAGAAACAAGTGCTGTAATAGGATGATTTGGTCCCAAAGAGTTAGCAAGTTGATCAACATACTATTTAGTGTGTTATTACGAGAGGACAGTTGTTTTGCTTTATTCAGCAAATACAGCCTACTAAAGTTTTGCAATCATTTCATTTAATCCATCAATAGATTTTATATTGTTTGTTGTTCTTTACTAAAAATAGATATAAGGTTATACTGAAATATTTTCAATTTCTAATTTATATTGGTTTCTGATATCTTCTTCTTTCGAATTCAAAGTTGATAATTGTTTTTCTTATGATTATTAAGTGCCAATTAGTTTACTAATATCTTCATTTAAATCTGCAATCTGTTGATTAAGTCTTTGCAATTCTTTAGCTAATTTTTCTGTTTAGATTTCCAAAATTTCTATTTCGACATTCAATTATCCTATTTTCTAGTTAAATATATATTATTTGTACTTTGGCAAATTCTTGATCCTCTATTGTTTAATCTGAGATTAATTAATCTCTGATGCCTTTTATTTCTTTCAAAACTTCCTCAACATATGAACTTTATAACATTTTGAGTTCGATTAAACCAGCTAATTGCTTTGAAAATTCATTCTTGAGTGCCATTTTATCCATCTGTGCCATAACAACATCTACTTTAGACTACAATGAAGTTTGTAGAGACAATGTAATTAGCATAACTAGGAAGATGACTTATTTCATGAAAAACGGTATAATAAAATATATAATAAGAGAGATGATAATTAGTCATGAAAATGTAAGAAACACTTAAGGATATATCAATCGATAATAAGTCTAAATTTAATTGCCATATTTGATAGATATATAAATAAATCATTTAGATGAAAACAATTTAATTTATCCATCTGCACCTAAAGATGCAAATAAATTGTAACTTCCATGATGAACTAAATTGTGAATGTTTTCATCATATTTAGATTGATGACCTTGTAGTTCCTATATAAATTGTTATCTTCTGGTATCCCAAACTCTAATTGGAATTAATATAAATAATTACTTTATAACATTACCCGTTGCAATATAGATGATAGTATTGTTAAGATTAGTAATTGCTGAAGTAATCGGTTCATTCCCACAAATAATTTATGAGATTAATTTTGCTAAAGAGTAAATGAAAATTGATACATTGTTAAAGATCAAAAATTCTCAATTTACCATCATCATGAGATGAAATCAAACAAGATTGCTAAAATTGTGTCAACTAATTGATTTGTGCTTATGAATTGTTTTCTTGTAAATATTTAATATTTTGCACATTTCTCCCATTCTCTGTATCAAATATGGAGAGTAATGAAGAATTCATGAAACCTGATGCGAAGAGATTTGGATTATGTTATAACCAGGCTATTGCAGTAGGCGAATCAACAAAATGACCGTATTGATTTTTCTATCCAAATTAATAGAGCTATTTGGGTTCAGTTTATGAGTCTTAAACTGGCCATAATTTGATTAGAGAATCGGCCGCAGAGGATAACAATAAATTTTATTGTGAATTAACCTTTAATTGCCAAATTGCATCTTGATGAGCTTACCAAGTCATTTTACATTATTAGAATTCTTCAGTTTACCCTAATTGATCGCATTCATCTGGCAATGGAAAGTACCACATTTTTATTGCTCCTTCAGCTCCAGCACTAAAAATAGCATTCTAGATTCCTTTAAGTCTTTATTCAATTCCAGCAATTGCAAACAAAGGCCCTGTGTGATCTCTTAATGTCAAATAAGGTTCAATTTAATTTTATTGTTGTTAATAATTTTAGTAATCCCACAATTTCAATTGGCAATCTTCTGAAACTGTTGCTAAAATTGTCATATTATTAAAGAAATATGCATCTCTTACTCCATCTAGATGATGTCTCAAAGTGTTTTATAATTGAACAGGATCCTTTGAAACAGTTTAGGGTTATTCCTCATTAATATTTTGTGATTTGCTTCTACTATGAGTTGGAAAACCACTTGTGCTATTCATATTGGTTGGACTCTGTCTGCCTGAATTTTACACTATGGATGTCACATTTTAATTTGGTGTTAACATCACTGATGGTCTATTTGAATGTTCCATCTTAGGAGAACTTGGAGGCGAGAAAATCGATTGCAAGCCTACTTCTTATATTATTCTTAAGATTAACCAACTCATATTTACTTTTGCAATAAGGGTCGATAAGGTTTGGCTTTTCTTTTTGGGATTGTTTAGTAATTTTATATCTGACTCTGGTTTTCTATGTTTTCCTTGAGTAATTAATTCAAATAATCAGGAACTTATCCATTTTATTGATATTTCAATCTTTCTTATCGCAAAGCAACTTCAAGCATTTTGCACCTTTTTCCCAAATCAGTTATTACTCTCTCTTAACCTTTGACTACTCCTTCTAACTCATTTATTTTCTACTACATTTATGATTTCTCCAAAGCCCATTCACAATCCTTATATTAAACCTGTTTATGTTATTCATGCAAAAATTCCAATACTCCAACCCAATTGTATTATGTCTTAATATTATGATTGAACTTACGTTTTATTGAGCATTTTTTTGAATCAAAGTGCTTATTGAAACCTACTCTTATGACATTATTATAATATTCAAATTTAAATTATTACTTTTAATTACAAGATGCATGTTAATTAAACTGATAGTGAAGATGAATGCATATAAAATGGTAATCTGAGATTCTCCAATAATCATAATTGATAATGGACCAAAAAATTTATGCAAATTGGACCCTCCTTTGTAGAGAAGAGAAAACCAAATCCAAAATATAATAATATACCAAATGTATGGTTAAAATTCTATGGAAAGATAAATTGGGAATAAGTAATGGATAATTTAAGGAAATGAATTCATAATTCTATAGCATATATGTAAATTGAATAATACTACTATTGAATGATACCATTTTATTAATATTTAAAAATGAATAAATTAGAAATATTAAATAGTCCTAGATTAACCACTCAAACAGAACATGTCAAAAAATCATTCTACAGCAGAGATATAAAAAGTGATAAAAATTTCGAATCATCTTCTTATCATCAAAGAACTTATAAAAATGAGGGTAGAAGGAAATAGAGAGACTATCATACATAAACGAATATTTAATATAAGCAAATCAAACAAAACTAAATATTTTACAATCAGAAAGATAGTTTCATTCTAAAAAAGTGACTATCAAATTAGGTCATAATAAGACGATGAGTGAAAAGAAGAATTTATCTAAGTAAGTTCTTAGAAGAAACATCTCAATAAAGTCCCAGTGGGAAACGAAGAATCTATAGAAATCCAACATTAGCTCGATTACATTTAGAATAAGAAGTGAACAGTAGAAAAATGAAACATAAACTTAGAAGGCATCTCCATTTTATGATACTTTGCAATAAGAAGACTGTTTTAGAACAAATGCAATCCTAAATGTCTAGTTGTCCGTTGAAGATGCTTTAAAATAATACAAACAAGATGGAATTATTGGAGAATGAAGATTCATTTGGAGATATCATTTAAAATATGTTGGCATAAAAATTGTCATTTCTTTATGATAAATTTAAGCGAATAATGTCAGATCATAATCAATTATTCATTTTAGTACTGAGGTTAAAGAAAATTGTGATGGGGACACTCTAAATGAACTCATCTATATTATTAGATGATACTTTACAAACCATAATAGATAAATGTGTTGATTGTTAAGAATGTGACAGAGCTTCCTGCTTTATTGTTGATCAAAGCAAAAAGGAATTATGGACAAGTGTAGCTAACGGAACTTCAGCTACAATCCGTTTATAGGTGGGGCAAGAATAGCTGGGTTTGTTGCACAATCAAAAACTATTTTAAATATAGAGGATGCCTATAGAGATTAAAGATTTAATTCATAATAGGATATCAAGAATAATTATAAGACCAAAACATTATTAGTGTGTCCGATAATGGAAAATGAGAAATGTGTTGGAGTGTTGCAATGCGTTAACAAATAGAGTGGATATTTTACAAAGGATGATGAGGCATTGCTGCAAATTATGCGCGAATTTTCAAGATCGGTATAAAAAAATGCGATGAATCATGATGCTTAAATGTTAATTTAAAATAAATTGAGACACTTGATAAACACTGGAGTTTTGCTTTAATCAAAATAAAATGAAATTCATCAATTTATTTAATAAGCAGAGGAGATTAAGATCACTAATGAATGTAGATTTTGCAAAAATAGTTTATAATGATATCCAAACCAGTAAAGTTATACATCTTAATAAAGAGGGAAAACTCGATGAATGTGACAACACGCTTGGTATTATGGGGAATTGCATTCAGAGTCTATCAATTATTGCTACATCAATCCTCTTTTCAATCCTAATATTAATATAAACAATTTAGTTATAAGAACATTTAAAAAGTAAAATGATAAAAATCAAGAACTCTATACTATTGACTAAGGAAATCCAAGATTAAGAAGTAATAATAAGATTTTGGTTTTATGACTTAAAATGATTGATGCCTGTTGCCTTATGGAAAATAAGAAATGTTTTCAGAATTTGCAATCCTATATTATTGTAGATTTTACTTTGCCCATAATCAATTGGAAAAAATTTTGAAATGGCAAAAAACGTTACACTGTAACTTTGCCCATAGTGTCCAGGGTATGGACTTTAGTATAAGAAATTGAAACCATAAACAAAAAAATCAAAAATAAGATTAAAATTTAATAAAATTAATTATTTCAAATATTAATCATAAGTGGTATATTGAATTAAAGTTTCTAATTTTAATTTTCCATTAAATATTTATTTGAACATAGTTCTTTAGATTATAATTGCATTTCTTAAATTATTTTATTCAACTCTTGAGTTTCTTTATTTCTATTATCTTCATCAGATAATATATCTATATTTTTTTAATAAAAATCAAAAAAAGCAGTCTGAATTTCAATGAGGCTTTGAGATTTGTTTAATTTTTAGACTAATCTTTTCAAATCTTCCAATCTCGCATTCTTTTTATCCACTTTATTAATCATTTATTTAACATCATCAATCTCTTAATTTATTTAATTTTCTTCTCTATCTTCATTAAATTTGTCAGTCTTTGAATATTTCTTAATTTCTTTTTTATAATATGAAATGCATAAGAAAAATCCTAAATATGCAGGTTACAAACTTAATAAAGAAATTTTAGATGAGAAACAAGAGGCAGCTTTTCTAAAGAAGTCACAAAATTGTTACATTTCTTTAGGTTGTGGTTGTTTTTGAAATACATTAGTTGTTGGTGTTTATGGATTAAATTTGTTTATGTCCTATGTATAATTTTGAGGGGTATATGAAATTGTAGCTCTAGCACTTGAAAATGAAGGTTAATTCAAAGGCAATTAAGGAGCAGGGATTGGTTAAACCTTCTAATTTGTTATTATGGGATTGCTATTTAATTATTGCTAAAATGGTTAAGTTTAGATTTTTTAAAATTCATTTAAGGTTTGACGTGGTATTGGTGGCTAACATGATTATGTATTAAGTCTTTGATTCACAGTTGAATTTTAACTTTTCAAATCAAAAGAAATAGGTTTATTGGAAGTATTAGTAGTGTCTGGAAGGGATTTAATCTTTTCTTATTAAATAATAGGATTAAAATTGGTTTAAGGACTTTTTTAAAAATTGGGCTGCTGAGCTTAAATAAATCCATTCTATTAGAATGGTAAGGAAGAGGTTGGAATTGTTGTTGTTCTCAATGCAGATTTCGATACTGTGTTATTGTCTGTTGGAAATTTATTAAATGTTGGTGGTTAATTAGGTAACTATTATTGATTTTACATTACACTATTTATTTTTTGAGTTGATTATTGGAATTATTATGAATTGTTATTGGTTAATAAAAAGTTCTATATAGGTTGTCCTATTTACTATGATTAAAATTATTATTATTGCTGCTATTAAAATGATTATTATTATTATAGATTCTATTATTACTATGAAGGTTTTTAATTTTGCTATATCTATTAAGATAGTTATTCTTATTTTTACTATTAAGGTTAGAATTTTTACTATTGTTGAGGCTATTAATATTGATTTTATTATGATGCTTAATAGGGAGGCAACTGTTAAATTTGCTATTGCTACTATTAAAATTGTAATTATTACGATTATTACTATTAAAATTGTTATTACTGCTATTATTGTTATTACTGCTATTATTGTAATTACTGCTATTATTGTTATTATTGCTATTGTTACTGCTATTATTGTTATTAAAATTATTATTATTGATATTAAATTTGTTATTACTACTATTATTAATATGATTATTATTATTATAGATTTTGGGATTCTTAATCTTAGTTAGAATTAATTATAGAGACAATTTTAATTCTCGGTTACATTATGTCTTTTAAAGATTAATTTAATGTTACCCAATCGATTCTTTCGTCTTAATCAAACTTTAACATCTTGTCTATTAATTATAAGAAATTATTGGAAAACTAATTTAAACAAAGTAATTACATTTTTGTATGGTTTTCGGCATGATACCGGGGTTATTTTCATATTCATTAAAATTCGCTATAAATCTTCTATACTATTTGGCTAAGATTGAAAATAATTGGCCCCTTCATAAACAAGTTAATGCAACATTACTCCCAGCTAGCGATAAATAAGAAGAATACCGAGAAAATATCACATTTATTATTATAGGTTTGAGCAAAGATGATCTCTGGGGCAGTATAAATTGGTGTTCCTGCAAAAGTGGTGGTCATCTCTTTAGGTTGTTAGAGCACCTTACCAACTCCAAAGTCAATAATCTAGTTGATAGATGATGCATACTTTGAGAATAGGCTTATTGGTTTGTGTATTGTATTTAAGTAAAATATTTTGAGGTTTTAGATCCCGATGAATAATATTGAATTTAAGTATATGAAGGTATCCTGTAACAATCTACTATAAAATATCGAAGACATCCTATTGTGATAAATCAAAAGATTTCTCTCTGAAATATTACTCAATGTTTTTATCACATTTCTCCATGATTAAATATGTAAATGGTTGATCCTCTTTAATATCTTCAATCTTTATAATATTTTCACAATATGGATTGTCCTTGATTATTTTGTATGCTTCTAATTCTCTTTGTCCTTCAATGTTATTGGATTCTATTTATTTAGTGCAATATTCTGTATTCTTATTAAGCAAATCGTAAGTTAAATAAGTGCATCCTTGATTTCCTCTACCTAAAGATTTTTAGAAATCTATGTAATATTATCTAGTATTATTTTTATTTTAGAAAGCCAAGAAGTTGGGTTATAATACTTGCATGCTAGCTAGATCAAACCATCTAATCCTATCCTTTGGATCATACACTATCATTTTCTCTAATAATTGTTTGAACGCCGAATCTATTGATTGATCTGGGACTCTAAATTTGTTAAATTTGAGTTGATAATTAAATTTATCAAGTTCACCTTATGTAATGGGATTGATGTGGTATTAATTCTTAAAGCACATTTAATATAATATTAATCCTAACTAAATCTATTAAAAAATATTTACAGAATAAACATCACATTGATCATCATAATCAGCATTTTGAGTAATTTGAGTAATTTCAGGAGCCTTATAAAAAGGAGTTCCAAATGGCTCGTTCATTCTGGGTTATTTATAGGATGCTACTTCAAAATCAGAAATCTAAAGTAATAATTTGATATACTTTAATGATAACATTGTTTGTTTCTAAAACCCGCTTGACCAATATAGTTCTTGGATTCAAATCTCTGTGAACTATTTACAAATTCTTCAAATGCATATACCCTTACACAATCTATCCAATCATATTATAGATTTCTTCTTTAGAAAACCAATAACTTTATCTGACCTTGAAATATTATTCCAAAGTATAATCACTAGTTTCATTTTATGATGTTATCATATTATTAGCATTTAATGAAAAAGAGATGATTCTTGCAACATTTGTGTGAGGGTATTCATCTAAAATTTTCTTGATTTCCCTCAAACTGTTACTTCTGTCATTTTGATTGCATGATCCCTAAGTTTGCATTACAAATTGAGCTTCATCTTAAACTAAGGCCTGATTATATTAGAAATCTTGGTTCATGTTGATTTTAATAATAATGATTTTAATAGAAATTCATTTATTTTATAAAATTCACAACATTATTGAATATGAAAAATTCTTAAGACGTCAATATTAAGCTAATTCAATTAGAAAATTAAGTAATATAAATCACACAATAAAGTAATTTTATCAAAATACATAAATCTCATTAAAAATCGGAAGTTTAAGATTTCACTCTTTACATTATGTAAGGTGAGTTATTTTCTTTGATGGTTTCGTTTGAATTTAATTCAGAAATCTTATACAAGGCTTCTTGTAATGATTTAATAAAGACAGGCTTAATTACAACATGAATCATCCCGGCTTCAAAGCATTTTAAATGAGATTCATAGTCCTCATGAGCAGTACAACCTATTATGGGAATATAAGTAACAGAATTCGTGACAATCAATTCTTCTAATTGTGTTGTTGTTTCTATTCCATTCATTACTGGCATGTCTATATCCATCATTATCATATAAATTTATTCGTGATATTGCAGAACTAAATCTATACACTATTAACCATTGAAAGCTTTCAAAAATTTATTGAAGCCGATATTTTTCAACATTAAACATAAGGTTTCATGATTGAATGGTTCATCATCTACTACTAATACATATTTTTCTGTTTTTTGAAGTTATTAAATAGCTGAATCTGCTGAATGTATTTTTGAGCTTGTTTTCTAGCATTACTAATAATCAATAGGCTTTTTCAATGATTTCAATTTTTGTCTTTGATGACAATATTTATGTTTATTATCTTTGATTTATAAAATACTAGGAATTTATGCAATTGGTTCAACATCTATTGTTTCTGTCTATTGCAAGGATGCAAATGAGTTATAAGATTTAAAATTAAATTATCTTTGTGATAATTGTTTGAATTTCGATATTCTTGGACTTTACTAAAAGCTGATTTTATTTAAACTTCTTAGGGATTTCTATTTATTTAAGCTGTTATTCTTTGATCTGCCAAGCGAACTTTCAGATTGTAAATCCAAAGTATCACTAATTGAAAAAGTAAAGAGCAATTAATTATTCTGCTGAATTCTCAATTATAATCTACTATTGTCTCCACTTAATAATTTTATTAATTTATTCACCAGATATAAATTGATTCCTGAATTAATCCGATTATCAGCACATAATAATTTATTAGATTTGTTAGTTGTTGCACATTGATCTAATTATTTTAATTATTCTGTTAATTGTTAAATTTACTCTTCATTTATTCCCGATCCATTTTCTATTATTGTAAAATAGGTAATTTTATTCAATTAATCCAATTTAATTTCCAAACTGATACATCCCCCTTCGTCTGTATATCTATATGAAGTATTTAATATGTTTAGTAAGACGCGAATCAATTTATTGGAGTCTGTATAAATAAACCAATATTTTGAATCCAATTTATCAAATATCTCATCATTAATTTTAAATTGAACATCTATCTTCTTTATTTTACATTAATTTTCTATTAAATCATATAATTCAGATAACAAGGATTATAAATTTGTTTTGTTGCTCATAATAGTCAATTATTCAACCTCACATGACAAGTAATCAAGGATATCTTAGACCAAGTATAATTACAATCTACAATTTAATAAGGCTGGCTATAAATATGACTATTTCACTTTTTCCATTATGTTTTCATCTTCATTGGCTGTGATTAAATGTCCGATAGCTCCATTTAAAGGAGTTTTCAATTTATGATTAAAAATATTTATAAGATTCTGTTTATATTTTGAAATCTTGTGATTTTACCAATTCGTATATCCATCTTCAATTTTGATATAATATAAAAGATAGAAAGTATCTTTTTATAAATACTTAACTTGATATAATACTTTTTAATTATTATAGGGTTCATTAAGAACTGCCAATGCATAATATTATCGATTATTCTTTAGAAATAGCAATAATTCTTTTGAAGATTTAAATATCATTTTGTTTTACGAGTTTTATTGGTTAGATTCCAGTGGTTAAAAATCATCGTTATTTAAGTAAAGCTTATAAAAGAGTTCTTATTCTTCAGTACACAAACGTATTTAATCTGACTTTGGGGAGTTTAAAACATTTTTTGAAGGGGCTTACCTGTTTACAATTAAGGAGTTCTTTTAATTAAAGGCAATATTATTGTAATTTCGATCAAATAATTAAAGAATGCAGTCTTATTTAAAATGTTTTATTAAAAGACGAATACATTGATTAAAAGGTTTTTATTCGACATAAAAGGAATAGCCTTCATATATAAAAATAACAATTAATTCTATGCACTGATGTTCTTTAGCTTTTAGAGTTAATTTCCATAGTGAATCGACATAGTTGAATGCGATTTGAATTGAAAATAAAGAGAGAAAAATTAATTTTTAAGAGCCAATCTTTTTAAAAAGATATAATACTGGCCATGTAGAGGTTGGTCCAAATAAGATAATCTCCTTTCCATAATATAAAGTAATCATAATGCTGGATAGCTATTTCTTTTTCAGTAATAACATACTTACTAAGATCAAATCATAATTATACCAATATTAGATAAAACTAATAGACTGGAAAGGATAACTTTAATTTATGAAAAATTCTGAAATGTATAGGCAAAATCAATAATGGATAATAGTGCTAGAGTAATTCTAACTCTTTTTTCCTTGGAAATATGCATTTAATAAATAAATTTATATAATGTCGACCTTTACGTTGTATGAAGATTATACTCCTCCTTCTTGGTCAATGAGGCCTAAGCTTCCTTTCTATTTAGAGGTATTGAAGAATGGAGTATTAATTTAACAGAAGAAAATTGACAATGTATTTACAACATTAACTTAAATAGAAAGCTATGTATTTGATAGGGAAGAACGAAAAAATATGCGATATCGTATTGGATAATCCTACAATAAGTAGAAAGCATGCAGTATTGCAATCAAAGAATACAAATGAATTTTACTTATATGATTTGGGGAGTACTCATGGAACATTTGTCAATAATGTTAGAATTCCAACTAAATTATTCCATAAATTAAAACCATATGATCAATTGAAGTTCGGATAAAGTTTAAGAATGTATATTTTGAGATGTGAGGACCTAGAGAAAGAAGTAATTTATTAAATAAATAAATAGGATGCAAATGTATAAGAATAGGAATTACAAAAGAAATTAGATAAAAGAAATGCCAAAAGAGAATTTAAAACAGTTAAGGAACATTATTTGAATCTGTTGTATTAGAATCCATTGTACAGACATATGAAACCTAGAGTATAAATTTGATTTATTAATAAATAGAAGAAAGAAGAATCGGAGATAGAAGGTATAGATTGGGGAATCGATGATGAACAAGAAGTTTATAGATATCATTAGGAATAAGAGTATCCATTGGAGCCTGAATTATTGCTTTAATTACCTGGATTATCGGAATAATTGATAGATAAAATCAATAAATATAGTGAAAAGTTATCAACTTATCGTTAATAATAAGAAGAGTTGGATAATTTGCTTGTGAAGGAGAGAAAGAATTTTGGTTTGGATGAATAATCGGGCAGAAATAAATGTGATTTAGAAACTAAAGTCTAGGAATTGGGATCTGAATTGGAAAGTTTGGAAGTTGGTTTGAAATTTGTGTTGTTTGGTGATAGGGTCTAGAAGATTAATAAATTTGAATAGTAAGCTGAAGTGAGTTCAGAAGAAGAAGATGAATTCTATGATAACACTTTGAAGAAAAAAGTAAATACCCAAGAAGTTTAATAAGTAAATAACGAAATTAAAGTAGAAAAAACTACTGAATCATATTAACAACTCAAAAAAAGATTAGAGTAATTAATTGAGGAAAGGGATCTCTTAAATAATGAATTATTAAACATTTAAAGGAATGAAGAAAAAGAAATTGACGAAGAAGATGAATTAGATAATTATATGAAATAAACAGCCATCTCAATTGCATAATAAGAAAGACCTAAATTATTGGATAAATTGAAATCTGTTATTGATAATATAACTAAAGTTTCAGAGCAATTGAAATTTGTTAAACCGGATATTAAATTGTCATTTTTCAATGATGAAGAAGAGGAAAATCCTGCTGAAGCTGAAAATAACACTCAAGTGAAACCAAATCAAAATCTATAATCAAATGATCAAGTCAAATCTAGTAATACTACTACTACCTTTGAGTAATTGAAAAAATTAAAAGAACAAGCAGAGAAGGAATAGGATGAAGAAGAAGACGAAGAGATGATCTTAGAAAAGGCAAGGAGATTCTTTGAGAAGGAAGCAGAAAAGGAAAGTCAAAGAGATAAATAAAAGATGAAACAACTTAAAGAATAGTAAAAGGTTCAAGAAATATTGCAATAATATGATAAAGAATAATAGGAGTTGATATAATAACAATAGAAATAGGCACCAAAACCAAAGCCCCACTCTAGAAATTATAGGGATACTGAAGTTGAAAAGGATGATTATATTGATATCACCAAGTTTTAATGAAATCATTTATATTATAATTGTAATTAATTCATAACTTTTTATAATTTACCTACAAACTATTCTAGTTCTTCTTTGGTCATCTCAAATCTAATCTTCTTTTTATTGGCTATATTATCTAAAGTTTGCAAATGCAATTCCACTATTATTGTGGGAATCTACGACTTGGCTATTTTATTGGATGATATTGTTAACTATATAGAATTATTAGAATGTACATTCAAATTCCAATTGTAATCAATTAGTACGTATTTGGATAATGCAATATGTGTGTACAATGCTTATTTGCACATTCCTTTAAAGTTCTCAGTTATTATTCTGGTGAAAATCTAGTGTTTTTCTGCATCTATTTATGTTTTTAATTTGTCCAATAATCTTTAGACCTGATTATAATATTGAGTTGTACTTCTTCTCTGTTTTGATTATTCATTTCCAACAAGTATTCACTGAACTACTGCATAAATTATTGGGCCTCCACAATTAGATTATAATGGTTAATTTCAGGGAATTGACTCAAATAAGGTAATTTAATTCCATGGACACAGTCAGCCACAAGATCTTCAATGAATTTCTCAAATTGGTTATTATCTGTGAACACACTGAATACCTATGGCAAATTCATAAAAATAATTTATATAAATCAATATATTATTGATTTTTAAAACTTTCATGAGTCAAGAATAATACAAATGGAATGAATTGTTATGGAAACCCATTGTTCGACCTCCAAGACATCGTTATAATCTTAAAGATCTTGGGAACGAAACATTTAAAGTGCAAGATACAATCACAAGAAGAACAGACTTTGAAATACATAATAATCGAAACTAGAAACTATAATGTAGGTGAGAATATTCATTCTAATTAGTTTATTTGAGCCTCTGAGAATGTAAGAAAAACCTCATCCTTGTATGATATACTTACATGGTAATTCTAGTAGTAGAATTGAATCATTCACTATTATTGAATATCTAATCCCTGCAAACATTTCAGTTTGCGGCATAGATTTGTCTGGTATCTTTAATTTAGTGAATAAGGTTCTGGATTATCAGAGGGTGAATATATCTCCTTGGGATTTCACGAGTCTAAGGACGTTATTTGCTTATATGATTACTTGAGAGAAAACAAAGTAAATATCTAATAATATATAAGTTTCATAGGGATATCTCACATCTATAGGTTTATGGGGTAGATCAATGGGTTCTGTGACAGCCATTTTAGCAGCCCATAATAACTATGAATTTAAAGTTTTGGTTTGTGATAGTCCGTTCTCTAATTTAACTTTACTATGCAAGGAATTAGCAAAGGCTAATTACAAAATTCCAAATTGTTGTTTTAATTGTTTTTGGTGCTGCGTAAAATCTAAAATTCATTAAGAAGTTAAATTTAATATTGATGAATTGAATATAGTTCAAATCATATAAGGTAATAACTAAATAATAATCAGTTTTACCCTAGGATGTCCAAATATTATTTTTATCTGCCCAACAAGATGATTTGATAAGAGAGAGTCATCCTAAATTGTTAATGAAATTATTTCCTGGTGAAAATAAAGAATTGTTTAGTTTTGAAGGCACTCATAATTCCAGAAGACCTGCCAAAATATTGCAAGAGTCCGTTCGGTTTGTATGCAAGGCTTTTGGTTAAAAGGCTTGGACTGAAGTTTAGATAACAAACACTACCAAATACTCATAAACTTAACTATCAAAATAAATACCTTTGCTTAAGGGAGACAGAAAAAGTGTACAACCCTACATAGAAAAAAGTGAATATTGATGATTAATTTAAATATAATTAATATTTGATTTTGAATTAGAGGCTTAGCATATTAGAATGCTTAATTTGGATATTGTAATATTGAAAATCTATTCAATTCTTCAACAATAATACCTGGAATCCGTTATAAATGATGATTCAATGATGGAACTGAATCCACTATATGCTTCCAATGTAAATAATATGTCAGAATTAATAACAATCAATAATCGAGGAGGGGTACTCCAAGAGAAAACTTAGATAATTTGTTTTTTTGGTAAAGGAAATGGTGATATACTTTATGAATAATATATATAAAATAATTAAAACTATGGATAGTCTTTACTCAAAATATATCGTCCCTATGTAACCAGAGAAAAATTAATCCTAATCTCCGAATTCATAAGTAGCATTCAACAACATTCAAGTAAATTTCATTTAGATTTTAGTAATTACTTGAAGATTACAGTCCTTCAAATCGTAAACTCAGCTTTTCTGAATACAGAGGTTAAGAACTAAAAGACTCATAGCAACTGTCCAGTCAAAACAAATTGAGTCAAGATTTCCCAAGCGAGTTCGTCAATTCTCAAGTGAGAAATTATGATTTATCATAATACTAGATCAAAAAAGAATAAATTAGCATTGATATGAATAAAAAAGAGTAGTAGGACTTTTAATTCTTGAAAGACGATTAGCTGATGTAAACCAATACTATCATTGAATCGCCAACAAAGATAAATGGAGATGATTCGCCAAAGAAGAATAAATTTAAAGCCTTCGGGAATTTACTACTGAGTATTAGAAGAATGTAATAGAACATAGTGGAACATATTTCTAATCTAGTATAATAATTAAATATGTTATTAGGATTAATTAAAAGAAACAATGATACAACCATCCACCAACATGAATGTGTCTAAAATACATCCAGAACCCTCATCAAGAGATTGTGAAAATATAAATGAAATCTTATCAAACTTGAAATTAGTAGATAGATTCATTTATTATTGTGAATAAGGTTCCTAATCAGATATTCAAAATATGATCAAATTATTAAAAGTGTATCCAAAAAAGTAAATATAATTATATATATCTAAGACACTTGTATTGTCCTACTGATCCGAAACATATACTAAATTCGTTCAATAAGTTTGGATAGAACTCTTTATACATATCATGCAAAAATGGCAATATTGAAGTTATCAAATTCTTATTAGATTAATAAGCCAATCCTTTTATAAAAAGCAAAGTCTATGAAAACTTTTATGAATCTCCTTTAGAAGTCTCAATTAGATGGAATCATTACAATTGTGTTCAATTATTACTAGATAAATCTAACTATTCAAATAAAGAGTTAAAAGCAGCCATTCGATAAACTTCAAATCCTCAAATAAAATAACTCATTAAATCAAATCTCAAAGCAGACACTCTTTGCTGTTTTTGATAAATAAACAATCATTATTCTCTATATATAAAATATTATTATAATTCAGTCCAAGTTAATACTCCATAAGGCACCACATATACCTAAATAATAGATAAATCCATTAAATTATATCGAATCAACTACATAATCATTCATTATTTATGGTTTCTCTTAAATAGGTTGCAGACAAGAATCAAAGAAATTGTGAACATGCTTAAAAACTTGGCATTAATTTTTTGTATTAAATAATTACCATGTTGTTTAAAGCATTTGCATTCTCAAATGTTCAGAAACATCAATAGGAGAATAAATTTTCTACATAGCGATTAATAATATACTTTATTTAATTTTAATTAAGTTGCTCCATTGACTTTAAATAACTTTAGTTGTATAATTGCAATTCCTGCATATTAAATCAATAGATTCAATACCAATAATGATTCAGAATGTTATTCAATAACTATCTAGGTAATTTCTTCCTCCTTACAAATATTCTTATCTGGATAGATGGCTTAAAATTACAATAATAGTTCAAATTTATTTAGTGAATAGATAGCTACCAAATTTTGATATGTTAATATTATGATATCATTAGACAATCTTACTTATTAGAATTTGTACTCCTCCTTACTATAATGTATTTTATAATCTATTTGTCCATTTTGGTGAGCCTTAATAATCCAAACCGAAGAGTCATTTAATAATAAGACTACATTCTCCTTTTAAACATCTGCAACCAATACCCATTTTTGTAATTGTCCAAAATCTTGAATTCTTTCAAAAGAATCTTCAAAATATCTATAGACAGAATACTAAGTGATAAGTATGTTATCCTTTAATAATAAAATTTATTCTTTTTTTGGAAATAGATTTATCTCTAAGTACCCTATTTCTTATTCTCTCAATGTTACTTTCGCCAAAGTTTGATCATTTAATAAATAAAGTTCATTGGTATTACTTAAAAATAGTGAATCATTTTCTTTAACTGATATGTAATAGTCATTGATGCCTTCCATCACTTAGTATTTATTTGTTCCTTACTGTAAAATAGTTACAAGATATAAATTGTTGAAAATTTAAATTTCTTATACAATATTATTGATGCCAATTGGATTATTTTTGATTTTGACTTTCAATTCATTATCAAATATATAAAACTGTCCATCTTAACAAATTACTTGATATTCTTTTCTAATATTATCGTAATTAATAATCACAGCTATAGAATTTAGTGAATATTATTGCAGGGGAAATTCAGTTCCTTCTTCTTAAAATTCAAATTTTGACTGAGTTAATGAACAATCAAATCTGCAAATTGTCAGATACTCTTGGTCAATATGATAACTACTTAAGTCCAGTAATTATTTAGATTATGCTCTAAATACTAATTTATTTTGATCAACTTTATATATTTGAATATAACCACTTCCATTGAATAGAGAGAATTGATTCTATTAATAATGAGATTTTATTTAAATAGCTTGTTGATTAATTTGATCTCTCAATTACAACTATTCATTTGATATCTGATACAATTACAACACTTAATCATTTGACAATATAATGTATTAGTTTTCTAGGAGCGTGCAGTGGTTTATCTAGCTTTCGTAATCTAAAACTTATAATGGCGTAGTATTTTAATATAATTAGATTTGATTAGTGGTTACAATTAATAGATATTGATTAACCTCAAAAATTTATTTGATCTTTAATTTTTGAGTAAAATTAGTAATAATTTGCCTTGATTCAATATTTTTAATATTCTTAAGTACAAATGGTTTACTAAAATCATTGTACTTCTTAATCGCATACAAATTATTTTGAAATTCAAAAAGGTTAGTCATACCTATACACAATTATATTTGAAAATTTAACACGAAATTAGAATCATAGACTGAGATTCCATCCTATGAAACTACAACTAATTATTCGTTATTAATTAAATAAGAGAGTTGAATGTTCTCAACATTTAACTTTATGACGTTGAAGTGATTGCCTACCTTTTATTCAATCTTTTATGTTATTAAGTCGATTTAACCATTTTCCTGAACTAATAGATATTGATTCTTGCTTGTTCCATATTCTAATACATCAATTATTTTATTATTTATTAATTTTGAATAATTATTTAGTTCCTCAAATGGATCTAATTAGTAAAATAAAAGTGTTGAATAAGAATAGAGGACCATGATATTATTACTTATAAATAATTTAGATATGTTTGAAAATCGTTAAATTTATTTGTTTTCGAGTAAACAGATCTCCTATTCAGATTCAAAATCATGTTATATCAATTTTTTTGTTGTATAATAAAATATTAATGTATGGCCTTCTATTTCCTCTACGCTTATAACTTTTGCATCCTTTCTTTTAAAATTCTTTTCTTCTTAAATACTTAAGTTGATTATGATCATTCCTTATATATAATCTGATACAAAGAGGAAATTCTTAGCATAAAATAATTTATATGGCATCTTCATCTACCCTTTCAAACTCATTCTTTAAGTGACTTAATGAATTTTAGGTTGATACAATTCAACCTATCCAGTTTCATATAATATGGCGATTTGAAATTAGTTAAGTGGATATTTAATCGGAACTGCATCAACTATTTTTTCTTTAGCTTAATAAATTAGATTTAAGTCTTTGTCTTTTAATTGTACTAATGAGTATTCTTAAACAACAATTATTTCAGATATATTTTTGCTATTCTTATCTGAAATAATCTTAATTATTTGTGAAGGCTATTTTAATTGTTTCATCATTAATAACTTAAATCTATAAATATATTTATATATAAAATGTTAATAATGAGAAAATATTAATTATAGTATAAAAATAATTAAGGTTTCTTTTCCCGAAAATTAAATAATTAGAACTGATTTAAAGAATAATTCTACTTTCTGCCTCATAAGTACTTCATTAGTAAAGTTGTGAAAGCAATTTCAATACAATTTAGATGAAAATATTATTTTAGGAGTATCAATACCATAGAAGTAGGGTTATGCATCTGAAAATATAGAGAGGATTTCTTGAAACAGGATTGAATTCGTACAATTTTTACTCTTAGTGGAATAGAAAGATATTATCTCAGATAAAGAAGATTTTTATTTATATACATATATCAATTATATAATTTTCAAATAGTATTATTTCTACATCTGCTATAGAGATTATTGAGACAATAGTTTATTTTATACAACAATAAATGATAATTTGATGATTAGCGCATAAGGTATAAAATAACTAAGTGAATTGATTAAAGAAATGCGATTAAGTTTAATTAGATATTTTTGATACTTTCTGGAAGATCGAGAATTTATTAATAATTATAAATTTTATTTAAATACATAATGGTGAAGAAAGCTGCCCCAAAGAAATAAGAGACTAAAAAAGCTCCAATTAGAAGAACAAGAACTATATAGGCTTTAATAAAAGATAATGAAAATATTGTACATGAAAAATTGGGATAGACTAGAAGTAAAAGTAATGGTAAATATCTCTTTTATGACTAAGGTGTGTAATAAAAAAAGATTACCAAATAGACATAAGAAGTTAAATAAAAGAAAGTAGTAAATGAAAAAGAAAGGAGTGCGCCCAAAAAGAATTCAAATTAAAAAGAAGAAAAATAACCAATTAAAGATGATACCAAATAAAAAAAATAGCCAGAAAAATAAGAAGATAAAAAGAAGACAGAAACAAAATAAAATGTGAAACCTGTTTAAAAAAAAGTAATAAGTAAAAAAAAAAGTACTCCAAAAAAAAGTCCTGTAAAAAAAAGTACAACTAAAAAAACTCCAGTTAAAGCTAATAACGCCAAAGAAGATACGAAACCTAAAGCAGCTGAAAAGAAAAATGAAAAAGAAGTAACTATGAGTGAAAAAAAAGTAGAAGAAAAATCTGAAAAAAAAAATAATGAAAAAAGTGAAAAAAAAGTGATCGATAAATCAGAGAAAAAAGTTGTTGATAAATCAGATAAAAAAGCAAATGATAAAAGCGAGAAGAAGGCTGTTGAGAAATCAGATAAGAAAAGTGGAAAAAAAGAATAATAAAAAGAATAATAAGAATAAAAATAAACAGAATCTGCTAAGTTACCAAGAAGAACTGAAAGCAAAGCAGCAGCTGGCATTGTTGATGTCGTATTTTGTGTAGACACTACCTCCTCTATGTCTCAGTATATTAATTAAACCAAAGTAAATCTTTCTTTATTTATATAGAATACCGTAAAAGAAATTATTAAAAACATTAAAAATAAAGCGTCAAATGAAGATATTAGTGTTAAATTTGGATTTGTATGTTATAGAGATCATCCACCCTAAGACCAAACCTATGTAACCAAGATTTAGGATCTATGTGGAGAAGATGAAATTATTAAATTTATAGATTAACAAAATGCTGATGGAGGTGGAGATACACCAGAGGCTGTCTTGGATGGATTGTATGATGCAGCAAAAAAGATTGAATGGAGAGATGCCACTCGCACACCTTCATTAAGATACATCTTTCATGTTGCTGATGCTCCTCCCCATGGAAAAGAGTTTACTGATTAAACATCACAATGGCCTAATGGAGTTCCGTATTATATTATCATTTATTTTAGATCTGGGGTTAACTTAGATAAAGTATCTCATGTAATCAACATTAGAGAAATTCATTATAGATTGATTAATGTCAATCAAACAGATATACTAGACAAAATGAAGAAGTTATTCAAGGAAAAATTTACTAATTATGAAGAAACAGATTTGACTAATGCTAAGGAAATGGATTTCAAAGTTAGTGATATGATCATCAGAGAATTATTACCCGATGTCGATTATAATGATTGAATCTTCATCGCCATATAAACAATTATATTTTGTTAAAGAAAGATATCTATAATGATTAAAAGCATTCTTATCATCTCAATTAAATAGTGGGGGAGATCTTTAATTGATTCCATACAAGAAGTTATGAGTTCCCTTATCTTTTCTAAGGATATAATGCATCAGTAATGTCTATAAGAGGGATACGATTCATTCTTTATTTATGAAATCCCTGTTACTCTTAGTAAACTTTGTTCTCCTTGTTTTGATTATCAACTTCTATTTAAATTTTTAACTATTTTGAGTTCATTTTCAAATTCAAATTCAATTATTAATAAAATTATTCATATTCAAGCTATATAATATCAAATAAATGGACTACTTTTTAACTAAAAATTTGTCAAGCTTTAAATCAGTTCAGAAAGTCATAATATTAAATCTATTTCTTAATAACAATACAGAAATATAATAATAAGAAGTAATAAATATAAAATTGAAATCAAGATACAAACATTAATAACTATGGTATAATTGCATCTTATACTAAAATATATCTAGATAAATGATAAAGAGAACTTTATATTTATCAATTGTTAAATTTTATGCAAAATTAATTTAGATATAATCTCTCTGAAAATATAATTTATCATTATTTATATAAAACAGTGAGAAAATAATATTAATTTTGGAGCCTTGTATTGAATAAAATTCTTAATGATTTTTCTAAAGTATTATCTAAAGAAGAATTGTCTAAAATGAATATAAGTTATTAAAATATAGTCTTTGTTATACGATATGATATTTTTAATATAGAAGGAATATTTAATCATAAGATGAGAAATTAAATAATTTTGTTCCAAGATCAAATAGATATAAAACAATAGAATATTTTTTTTCACCTTTGATAAGTACTTTATATATAATATACTTTTTATATTCTTTTAGGATATGAATGAACTATACTAATAGAATAATAGAATACATTTCATAATATTCATTATGATAATTTTTTACATATAAATTATCGAATTCTTCTTTGTATAGAATAATAATTTAAAAATTAAAAATCTTAAACAATGAGTTTTATAGGACCGAGAATGAATTGCTAATTGCATTAAAAATATCCCATAAGTCTGCTTAATTTAACAAAAGGGTTATCTAAAGAAAAAAGATTACTATGTACTAGATGTAATTTACAATTGCAATAAAATTTGTATAGTATAGAAGAAATATTTGAATTTGCAGTTTCGATCTCGAAATCTGAGAAGGAATAAATGGAAATATTGAAAAAAGATAAGGATCAATTGGCTTAAATTAAGAATCTCCTTGGTTATATCTAAGCCTATTATAATAAATTAGAATTTGAGCATTAATAATTATTTGACTAAGTGTTAAAAAATCTCTTTATAAAACAAAATGATTCTATTGATACCTGCATCTAAAAAAAATAATAAAGTGATAGAAATGAATTGATTGGGTTGGCAGAATAAGCCAGCTTAATTATAAAATAAAATAGTGATAAAATAGAATTATAAGAAAACAATTCTATTTAGTAATTAGCGAAACTTGATGAATTGAGAGGGAGAATAAAATTACTATAAGATTAATTAAAGATGGTAAACAATGATTAATCATAATCTATAATTCTTAATTAAAAAGCACTCTATCCAAAATTAGATCCAGTTTAGGTTATTTAATAAAAAAAGATTGTCGAAGGATCTGAGTTCATAAGAATAGCTGAGATTTAATTAGAGTAATAAAAGATATATGATATCAAATTTAATAGAGATAATAATCTATTTATTATAGGTGGTTCAAAGTTAAAGAATAGTAATTGTTATGTTTAGATTTGGAAATATGAGAATGATTAAGTTTCAAAAATGCAGGATTTAGAAAATTGCCATTCTGGAGATGTGAAATCTATTTGTTTTTCAAGTTAGGAGGATTCATTTTTTACAGGAAGTCAAGATACAACTATAATATATTGGAAGATGGAACCTTAAGGATGGAATAAATCTCAAGTATTATAGGATTAAAGTAGTGGAATAATTGGATTATAATTGAGTAATAAAGGGAATGTATTGGCTGCTGTTTCTAATTCAATATACTTGTGGAAAAGAGAACTTAAATAATGGGAAAAGGTTTAGGTTTTGAATCATAGTAAGAAGTAGTATTTGTGTGTTTGTTTTAATAATGACGATTCTTATTTAGCTGCAGGTAGTTCAGATTGTCAGATATATGTTTATTAGTATTAAAATGGGTAATGGATATTGAAAACAACAATATAAGATCAATCATAGGAGATCAATTTTATTACATTTCTCTAAGATTTGAATTTAGTGGCAGTTTTAAAGGATAACTTTATTAATTATTATGAATATTCACCTAACAATTGGTACGACTCAAAGAAGTTGTCAACTTTATCATCCTTTTAAGTTAGTTATAGTAAACAAAGTAATTTTTTGACAGTGGCATCTGGGAAATAGAAGGAAACCTTAATTTATTAGGTAGACCAGAGAGATGGACTTAAGAAGGTTTAATAGATTCAAGCAAAAAGTGATTAAGTATATTCATCAAATGACGGGAAATTAATAGCACTATTTGCAAATTAGAAATTGGAATTCTATTCAGATCAAAATATGTTATATTGAGATATATTTACATTTAACAGTAAAAGGATCAACATTAAATTATAACATTATATATATATATAGATTTATAGATAATCAATTATTCTTCTTTCTTCTTTGTGCTTTAATGAGCTAATAGATAAAGAGAAGATTTACTTTTCTTGTAGGTTGAATACCATCATTAGTATTTATTCTCATAAAAGACATCAAGTCATTAAGTTTAACAACAATTTAATTATCTAGTTCTTTTTTGAGTTGCTCAATACCCATGGCATAACTAAGAATTAAAAATATGTTACTGTTATTTGATTGTAAATAGAGTATTTTTAAATATTGAGTACTCATCCTCTTTTACTATTGAACTTAAGAACTATTCAATTTATTATTATGCTTCGCTGATGTCATCCTGATCATTGAAATCGTCTTCATCATCGTCTTCTTCATCAAAATCTTCGCCATCAAAAGAACTAAGATTAAAATTGGATATACTTGTTCAATTTCTTTAATTCATTCTCCTTTTCAAACTTGTCTTATTAGAATAAATTATTGACAATTGTTGTAATTAATTTCGAAGTTAATAGATTTGGTTACTTATTAATTAAAGTTGACATTGTAATCACAAACAATTTGATGTCATAACCTGGAGAATATTGAGTGTCAAGAACTTAATTATATACAGCTGAAAACATTCCTGACAATAATTCACAAGTTAATTCTGGGACAGCATATAGTGCACTCAATATAATTCCAGTTATTCTTGATCTTAATAAACCAGTGAGTTCCTTTTTAGAAATAATAGTAAGTGTTTATTTTAGAATTGATTCCAAAATAGGCTTCTTTAAATCTGTATTGAGTTCTTATATTCCTAATTAAATAAGCAATGCTCCTTCAGCTTACTCTATGTCCTCAAAGGATTGATCTGATTGTAGATGTTAGAATGCTAAGTTGAAAAATATTTACTAGTATTGTTCATCTACAAAATGATTTCTGCCAAAATGAATGTAATAATTAAGTGTTTCATACAGATTCCCTAATCTACAGTTTTATTTCTGAATAACATTCATAAATAGGGGCAACACTTACATCTACAAGGGAGTGACTGATGACAATTTTTAGATGCATAAGGAGATGAACAAAATCAGATCTTCATCAAAATCTATTTTTTAGCATGTTGCTAACATTTAGTATAATTGAGTGATGCTTTATTCAAGAGTTATTAATAATTTTGTATATTCATTCTAATCTGCCAATGATCTTATAATATTCCAACACCTGTTCAAATAAATGTGTCTTTGGGAATCTCCTTTGTTGATAAGATCTTATTCGTTAATTATTCTTTAGACCAAAATTTACATAAGTCCAATTAATAGATTTTCATTTTGTTGAAATACTTGTGAGTACTTCTTTAGTAGATTTATGATCATTTCAAAGTGTCTCTCGTAGATACTAAACGTTAAGCCATTGCATAATGATGGAAAGACAACTGCAACTAATCCTTTTGTTTTTCCTTTCAATTCATCATCTTCAAAGACATCCTTTAATGCATCTATTGATTAATACAAGACTACTGGTTCTTATGGTTGAACAAAGTTAATTAAAATAGATAAATACATTAACATACTCTAGGATTAAATATCTTTTTTGAATAGATTATCACAATAGTAACCAAAAAATAGAGAAAACCTCACTTTTATTATTTAGTGTTGAATATTTTAGAAAAATGCTAAATTATCAGTTAGTAGTTATTCCATCATACCTACAATATCCTATCTCTTTTAAATCAAATAACTCATTATTGTTAATACAATTAAACTACTTTCAATTCTGTCAACAGCATTGTATTCAGTGAATAATTTCCTAAAAAGAATTATTTCAAATATTTACTTTTCAGATATGGCTTAGATGAATGTTTATTATTATTCATTAAGTGGAACAGGTTTAGCTGATAAACTATTAATTGCATTTTATGAAATAATAACAGCTAAGTTAGCCAAGAATGTTGTAGATCCATCTATATGGTCACATAAAGTTTCTAATAATTATGCTGCAGCAGTTTTAGGAATGTCAGACTCTTATTTATCAACTGTATCAAGTGCCAGATTTACAAACTCTTCTGGTTCTTCTTTCATTTTTAAATACTCTTATTAGGATGTTATCAAATAAGGATAGATGACATCTGTTATCAAGGGCACTTTTGAATCAGAGAATATTTGATACTATTCTGTTTATGCTCCAAGATTTGCTAATAATTTAAGCATGTATGTTATTATATTTCTTAGGAATGGCTTACTATAATTATATTGTTTTAGTATTACTTCAGAATCGCATTTGTTGATTCACTATTTGTATAAGTAAGGATGGAATAGAGTAAGAGTTGAGTAATTGGATTAATGTAGGGACCAAATGGTCCTTTTTTGACTTCGGATTTATTACGAGTATTGAGCAAAATTTGAAAGATTATCATATAAGACTTCAGAATATAACTTTTAATTTCATTCATTTTGTCATCAAAAATCTAGATACCAGTATTGATTATGATGGAATTTTGCATTTATTTTCCTATTGAGGGTGAATATTAAAGTAATAAAATTAATGAACCAGAAAATGAATTTAATGAGAATAAAATATTTAAAATTGGTAGTATTTATTCTCTTGAGATATTTGATTATTATTATATTTTGTCACATAAATCCTAGATTGATTATGCAAAGTATTTCATAGTGTTTATAAAATCATCCGATAATTCTTTTGGCTATTCTTACAACACCGTAATAATTTAGACACATTAATTAAAATACTCGGTAATCCAATCATAATTAGTTGTAATTGCATTAGCGTAATTTGAGAAATTCTAAAGTTCAACAGAGTCTGTCAAAATCTTAAAGAACAATATTCCAGACTATTTTTACCATTACTATTCCCCCTACAAGAATTCTTTCATCTTCCTTTCAATTTCAGTCTTTACATCTAAACTAAATTGAAATATTACTTTTATTTCTTCTAGAAATTTAACTTAAAGATTAAATGAGAGATTATTTGTATTTTAAGGGAGTGTTTTAAGAGGTTAGCACAGAAATCAATGATTCAGCATGCTGGATTGTTAATTAATCTAATTAATATGAAATATTAGTACTAGGATTAGTATTTAGCATTTTCATTACGACTGAATTCAACATATTGGCAGCTTATTCCTACACTATAATTGAGCAAGAAATAAGTACTTTTGTCTTGTTTTTCTGCTAATTAAGCAATAAATTAAAAATTCTAATAGTTTTCCTACAATGAATTGACTAAAGATTTCTCTGCTTGATTTCTGACTTAATTATCCTTATTTGTATATGCTGCTACTAATTGTTCATAGATTAAAGATGCCATCCCTAAATTATTATTTAAATTATTTAAAAAAATACACGAAAATTTATCAACTTCATTACTCACAAATTAAAATATGTTAATTTTGATTTCACTTCATATAATATATTTATATACCTCACATTTTCATGATTTCTTCCATCTTTGGGAATTTCCCATCTCTCATGTATTCCTTTAATGTAATATCCATTTTATCTTCACATTTCCTTCTGCAGATAGAAGTTTTGAGAATTTTCACGCCCTTATAATTTTAAGCAGTCCCAATATCACAAATTTCAATACACTCATTGAACTTTAACACTTCATGATGAAAATATTTCTTTAAGAACTACTCTCCCCTATATTCACATAAATGATATTCATTTCCATCAAACTTTTCTAATTCATCCCTATCAGCCTCACTTAATTCATAAGGAGGAGATCTCCCTTTAAAATACCTATAAATTAATTCCTCCTATAGAGATCTGTTTTATATTTATTGTAATTCTAAAGTATAAGCACCTTGTAATTTTTGAACACAACTAGCTGCGATTAATCCAATTATATCTTTTGGAAAAGGACTTAATTCGTATTGCTTCTCAGGTTTTTTAATGCTCATTAATATTACTTTTGTAAATTATTCTTTTTCTCTAAATTTATTGATTAATAACAAGAATAAATAAAAGGATAAATCATAGTTATCAAGAATAATAGAGAGGAAAAGCTAATAAAAATTATTATAAAAAAAATATAAAATTACTTAGAAAATGAAATCATTATCTGTTCCTAAGCACACTAATTACAAACCTTTAAATAATAGCTTTAGTACTCCTGATAAGAAACCTAATAAAGTATGCGTATGAGTTATATAAGAGTAGATTAAATACTTAATCAACTTTGAAGCTTAGCGGAGAAATGATGTCCGTTTAAAGTTATTTATATGAACAAGCTCATTTAAAGGAGGAGGCTTCAAAAAAAGAGTTTATAAGATAAATCAAGAGTGTAATCGACAATCTTGAAAAGAGTAAGAGCTTTAAGTAGTTAAACTAATAACTCTCAAATTTGATAGTCGGATTAAGGACATGCATAAATTAATAGGAAGTATCGAATTAGCTAATCTAATTAATCCAAATGATCAGAGACGTTGTCAATAATCATTAAAACAACAAGCTGATTCATCATAATAAAGATAAGGCAATATTGCTCTAAAAAATTCATGAATTAGAATTATAAGCAAAAGAAAATTAATTTTAATAAGGTAGTTAATTTTCTATAATGTTTAGAATTATAAATGTAAAATATGAAAGCATAAGAGAGAATAAGAAATTATGAAATTCGACTAGAATAAATTAAATAAGTGAAAGAATAACATCACCAAATTTAACCATAGAAGTAATAAGTGAATAGTCATGAAAAAATGCAATTGAAAAACCAGATTAAATTGATGCAATAGAAAATTGAGACACTATCAGACAAAGAGAAGAAATTAATTTAACTAGTAAAAGCTGTAAAATAGAGAGGAATTGATATTGAGCATATATACAGAAATGTTAATTAGGTTTCGAGTAGAAATAGTCTAATTTTAAATCAAGAGAATGAAGAACAGTTTGAAGATAGTTCATATTCTGATTTTGCAGACATCTCTCAATTTGATATTGGTTAGAGTAGTATTAAAAGACACCAAATTTTTTTATTAGATTGACATTTTTTATATCTATAAATATAAAGTTTTTATATCATAAATAAAATTTATTAACAATGTATAATTCCAAATCTTTATGTAATATTAACTACTATGCTTACTAGACCAATAAGTATCTCCAAGTAGTGGAAGAATATAAAAGATATCAGAAAAGTTATCAACCATATAAATTGGAGTAGAGAATGAGAGATTCTAAAAACTTGAATAAGCTGAACAAAGAATCCAATAAGCTGAAGATGAATTTAATGAATTTTAAGAATAAATCTTTACTAAACTAAATGGACTTAGAGATTAAGTATTATGTTATCATAAGTATCAGTTAGGAAAATTGTAGAAATAAGTTGAAGAGGATAAATTAGCAAAAGAACAGGCTAATGAAACTAAAAATAGAGAGGTGTCAGCTTTAGAAAAGAAATTTTAAAATTCAATTGAAACTGAGGCTCAGTCCAGAAAAGAAGGGGAATCTAAAGTGTTACGTTTGCTAGAGGATAAAACAGCATTATTAAGAACTGAAGTTTCAGAAAGAAACAGCAAGCAGAGTTGATGCTATAGAGGGTATTCATCAAGGTTTGTAAAATGATTTACCAAAAATTCAAGAGGCCATCCGAAATGAGGCTACTGAAAGAGATGAGTCTGATTAAAATGTATACATTTAGCCATTTATTATCAGGTTATGAAATCAATCACTGATGAACTTGTCAAATTAAGTAATTTAATTAATGTGGAAAAGAGAAACAGAGATGAAAGTGAATAGTCCATCTTTGAAATGTTAAAGGACATAGTTAATAGAGTGAAAGTGGAATTGGATCAAGAAAAGAAGACGAGGTAATCAATGCTTCTAAACTTTGATTAGGGAGTAATCGGAAGAGCATCTTTTAAGTCTATTAGAAGATACTTGTAACAAATTAAGTATTGCAGCAAATCTATGATCGATTATATAAATATTTTATAATTAAATTATTCATCTATGTCAAAAGAAGTAGTAATAATTTATTTATACTATGATAGAGATCTATTTCAGCACATGACCCTATGATCAAGAATGCAAAATTCTAGACTTAAAGAAAGTATTCAATATTCTAATCTAGTTATTTGAATGTTTCAAAATTTTGGCCAGAAAACGATTATCATGATAAGGAGACTCTCTATTTTCAATTAAAGACTTTGAAAGAAGAAATTAATATAATGAGAACAGAGAATATCAAGTTAAAAACTCGCATTTTATAATAAGATGTATTGTAAATTTTAATTTGTTAGAAAGAACTCTAGAATTTTAATAAGTATTTTGAAGATCAATAATTCAAACAGAATCCTTTGTCTAAAAGTCATGAGTACATCATTTAATAGATCAAAAAATAAAATAAAGATTTATAGCAGCTGTTATAAGAGAAATTGTATATCATTGAATAGATGAAAAAAAATATAAAGGTTACAAAGGTTTAAGAAATCTCGATTCAAAATTAATTATATAAAGAAGAAATTAACAAATTGAAAAAGATGCTGTTGGATTAAGAAAACAACAATAAAGAGTATATTCATATATTATTTCCAAGATTCTTAAATCAATAGACAATGATCAAGGAGAATTTCTTAAAAACCTAATAAGGTTTTATCAAATAACAAAATGAAATTAATGATTTGAAATAATAATAATAAAATGATTAGTAGAAAATCAATTAATTATAAGTATTTTGTTTAGATTTATTAGAATGAAGTTACAAAATTAAATCAGATTAAACTCAATTTAGAGGATAAAATGAAAAGAATGACTACAGAACAAAATAAAAAGAGTTCAACAAACTCCTTTAGAAGTAATAAACTTTAAGCAACAACTGAAATATCTTGTACTCAACTTAAATCTAAAACTCAAGATGAACTTTAATATAAATTAATAATTAGAGGTATCACACATGAATAATTCACATAAATGATCTAAGAATTAAAATAGCAGGCATTTGATTTAAAAAAGCAAATTGAAAAGGAAGACATTGAATATATATTAAGTTAAGAGCCTTTTAGTTTAGGTTAAGATAGAATATAGGAAGTGATTAAATCATTATCATAATCTGGCAATAGGTTGGCAGATACTTTATTGAATTAAATTGGAAAATATAAGACATTTGTTGATTATCCTGATTTTAAAATTCAAGAAGCAGAGAAAATCATTAAATAAACTCTAAAATAGCCAGAAATAACCTAGTATCTATAAACTAAACAGATCTAACTCTGGAATAAAGAAGATGTTATTCAAATGATAAAATGTTTAAAGATCAATTGGAGTGAACCTGTCTTATTGTTCTATATCTTGAATGTATAAAAATTTATTGAATTTATAGATATTTGAAAAATCTGGCTAAGTACTCGAATTTAAAAATGAGACGATTATTGACCCTTTTCCGTAATTGATACAGAAAGAGTCTTCAAGAATAATAGAAGAAAGTGAAGAAGACTTATTTGAATAGCTATCAGATAAATCTGAAACTGTTATAATTTAAGATACTGATCAATATATCACATGAAAAATGCATATTATTTACTTTTATAAACAAGTTACAATGTTCTAAAATAGATGTTTTCAAATGAGTACTTTTGTAGGACTCTGGTAAATCTCTATCTATTAAAGGTTTGCTAACCTTTCAATCTTACTTTTGTGTTTTTTGTTTAAGCTTCATATTTAATTTATTAATTAAATTATTTTATTACAATTTTTGAATACCCCATCAATTTTCAGTATTCAAGTTGCTTTAGTGTGGATGTCTTCCTTTTTATTATCTTTATTCTTTTTCGGTCGTTGTTCTCTTCTCTAATTTTGTTTTATTTATAATAGTTAATATAAAGATATATATATTTTTTATTTCTATTGGAGGAGTTGTGATTAAGGGTTAACAAGAGAACTTGGATACATTAGATATGTAAGTAGGGATGATATTTATGCATCTCTATATAAAAATAAGATAATATTTATTATTATTTATTAAAAATGAGTTCTCAGATAAATACTTAAGCTTTAGTACCTTAGATTCTTTGTCAAAAAGAAAGTTGCAAGGATAAAAGAGAGAATATTAAGACAATTTTCTCTTGTAATTTGTAAAAAAATCTTAATAATGATTCTATTACTAATTGCAAAGGTTGTATTGGAAAAAAATGTGATCCATCTGTTAACCCTTGTTAAATAAATTTAGATGACTTGTGTTTGCAATTGAGAAAACAAAAAATACATGAGAAAGAAATATTGTAGATTTTTGAGGTATTAAAGAAGAAATTAGAGCAAACTATTTAAAATGCTCATAATGAGATAGAAAAGTTAAAAAGCAAAATACTGGAGATTGATTAAGCTATTGTAGAGATGTGTTTGTTTAAAAATAATTCTAAGTTAGAGGAATTTATAAATAGAGGAAAATAGGCTCCTTTGGATCTATTAATAGATATGGTAAAAGAGTTAAGGGAAAAAATTTTCATTGTTGAAAAGGTTGATTAAAATATTCAACAGTAGATACAATATAATTAAGATAAACTTAATGTTATTTATGAAGATGGAACTATTAGAATTAATGATGTTCTAAAAAATAAACTACAATAAATGTCATAGATGATTAGTTGTTTTAAAAAATAAGTTTCATAAATAAATAACAATAATTATAATTTTAGTCTAGAAAAAAACTAAAATATTACATCAAATTACTAAAAGATTGAAGGGCCAGATAATTTATCTGTTAAAACGATTTACAATTTGAGATTTAATCGATCAAATAATTTGTTTGCAATTGGAACTAGCAATTTAAATTCTGAAAAGGTTAGTTGTGTGGAAATTTGGAAAATTGATAATAATAAAATTGAGTTAGTTTAAAGTTTGCAGCAATATCCAGATGTTACAGCATTATGTTTTGGCAAAAAGGATGATTCCCTAATTACAGGAAGTTTGGATTCCAAAATTATTCTTTGGTCCCCTTAGCCTAAACAGAAAGATCCATATCAAGAATCCAACTCATAGCCAAAGATAACCCCTAAGGGATATATTAATTGTATTGAAATAAACTAAAATTCAAGAATCTTAGCAATTGGAAGTGAAGAATTAATTATTTTTGAGTAAAATAATAGTAATTGGGTAAAAATTGCTTAATTGGAAGAATAAGTTAAGAACATAGCCTTTTCAAATTGTAATAAAATAATTGTAGTTTAATGTATCAAAAACAGAGAAGAGAGAATTGAACTATATTATATTTAAGAGTCGCAAAATTAAACAATTTAGATAATTGCTTTCAGAGATTTAAATTAGGCACAATAAAATTAAACTATCTCAAGTACAAGATTCATGTTTTTAAATATACTAAATAAAGTCAAGATATATAAATTAAACAACAATACAGCATAGAGAGAAGATATTGATTCAATCGAAAAGTTGAACTTCACTTAAAAAAGTGGCATTGGATTTTGTTCAAACAGCAGTTCTACCAGTCTTTTAGCCTTTTCATAAAGTGTTAATGATAATGGAGTTACTTAGATACTCAAAATCAATGAAAAAAATGAAGTAACCTTTCTTTAATCAATTTAATAAAAAGGATAAAAATTATTTTTCTCAAATGGTGGCTAGATACTTGTTATTTGGGATGGGAATAATTTAGTTGTCTTCAAGGATAAATCTAATCCAAGATCACAATGATATTTGCAATTTATTCAAAACGCATATAAATATTATAATTCTGATTATAATAGATCCATATTAATTGTTAATAATCTTCCTGTTAATATTTGTATAAAATAGTATCTTCTATAACTATTCTCATTTTATTTATTCATATTTATTTAATTAAATTAAATTTCAGATATAAACATGGGATGCGCCCAATAGAAAATTTCAAAGAAGGAGCAAATGAATTAAGTTGCTATCTAAAATTTATCAAATGGGCCAATAACGAAAGACAAAAAAACTATATCATATCAAATATATTATTACCACGGAAAATTATCCCTAAAATCAATTGGTATTATAAGAAATTATTTTAAGATTAAAGTACCATCTTGAAGAGAAGAAGAACTAAAGAATTAATAACTGAACAATCTTCACCCACAAAAATCGACAAGTGACTATATTTATTTAAATTTATTATATTCACATTATTTTAATAATTTCAAATAGTTGTTTTCTCATAGGTAAATCCCATAATTTCTTTTTTGAACTTTCAAACTCTCCTTGTCCATTCATATAAGGTCCTACCGATTTTATCACTAAAAGATATGATTTTAATACATTTAAGTAGGATTCAGTTTTTTCCCATTTTTCTATATATTTTTACTACAAAAACACAAATTCTCTTAAAATGTTACCTAATAACCTTCTCTTTAATAGAGTTCTGAAGAACGAGTTCATAAAATAATGAATTGTAATTTAAAATTGCAAGATGATGAAAATTATAAAACATTAATATTAAATAAATAATTTAATTTTCAGGCTATTCTTAGATTGATAATATGATTAAAAATATGTGATAATAGGTTATTAAGAGGTCTATGATTAGACTATATTAACAGATACACTTTTATAAAGAGTAGTTCTTGGTTATAAGCTCTTAGATAATGATTTTTGAGTAACGACATCTCCTTTATAAATAAATGAGGTTTTGCCTCTTAAAATTACAGATAATAATGTTTTTCAGTCTGATTCAAATCTTTATAATTAATTAAAAAGTACTTTTTATTATAGAAATTAGATGAATGATAAAAATCCTTATAATTAGAATTCTTACTTCAAGGATAGGAAAATTACTGCTAACGATCTATTTAATCAGATTGAAACAGACTTAAAATTAATTAAAGGCAAATGTAAGCAATAAATATAAAAAACAAATTTACAGCATGAAAAAGAGATGTATAATGAAGTATTAGATCATATGAACCAAATGATATAACATAATAATGAGAAGCAGATTATATTTAAATCGAACCATTCCTATAATAATGAAAATTAAATATAATAATCGACAAATATCAAATTGGATTCTCAAATAAGATATTGCGTCACTTTTGAGTTTGAAAATGAGACTAAAGAGGAAGAATTTTCACATTAACTCAGTTTTAAAGAACTCTATTTATTTCTATTAAAAGAATCCTCTTTTATTATAAAATAAATGTTTGTTATTTTGGATTAGCAGGCTAATATTATTAATCCTAATGATTGGGAATAACCTTTTATATGCGGAGATAAGGCTGACTCTCGATTCATCATTTAATCTCTCTCACAATACTTAATGACATAATAATCAGTAATAGTACAAAGAGCTTCGCAAATAATGCAAATAGAATCTCAAATAGTACCAAGAGAATCGCAAATAGTACCAGTAGAATCGCAAATACTACCAAGAGACTCACAAAAAAGTACTCAATCATAAAAAAGGTCGGAAGTCTAATAGCTTTTTAAATCTTAAAATCACTATGTTAAAGATGTGCAAAAAGAATCAAAATTATACTAATATCGCTCTACAATTCAAAAATAATTTTATAGTAAGATGAGTACCATTGTTTATCAATGCAAAAATTGCAATTAAGAGATTTAGAATCAATAAATTATGTTGAAATGTTACCATAATTATCATGAAGACTGTCTTACTTCAATGTTAAAATCATAAATTTAATCAGGTTAATCCATACTAAATTGTATATGCAATTAAAAAATACACATAAATGAGTTGGATTTATTGACATATGGATTGAAATAGAATTTATATAAAAATTAGATTGATACAATTTATTAGAAATATTAAGGATAATTTATGAAGTGTAAAAATTGTTATTTCTTTTACATGAAAACATAAAACAAATCGCAAATAAGATCAGCTTGCATAATGTGTTCAAATTGATTTTGATATTATATAAGTCAGAATGTAATTTTTTAATTAAAAGAACCTAATTATTATAATAAATAAAAACTAATAATTTTATTCTATTGTTTATAACTGTTGTTGATATTATTATTAAAATAACAAATAAACTATGTGAATCAGTTATGTATATGGAAGATATTTTACGAAGTCAACTTTTACAAAATAAAAGAATATAAGTTTCCATCATCAGTTCATTCGTTTTATTCTTATAAAATATCAACTCAATAATACTTAGGTTCAATTTCAAATTTATAATTTGATTCAAGAATTTGATGTTTAAAGTATATGGAGAACTACTGGCTATTAAAAATCGCAAAATTTAAAAGAATAATATTTAATAGATTAGAACGAAATAGAATTCATCAAGCTTCTCAAAACAATTTTAATACTGTAGGAGTTGTACATCCCTTAATTTTTAGTGTATAATCGGGTACTCTGATTTATCTAGTTGAATTATAGTGTCGAACCATGAGCCCGACATTGCTCTCTTCAGCAGTTGGATCTTCAACATATTCAAATTGATTATGAGCTATCTATTTTAATTAACTATTGGTCAAAGCCAACCTATGAAGGTCCTGCGGTTTTTTCTGTTCTTATTTTGGTGGGATATCTTAAATTCGATATAAAATTTACCATTAATCTCTCCTGAATTCTATTTAGACAGTTTAGCAGTATATTAACTAAATTTAGAAGCTCCTACAAGTGAAGATTTTCTTTATTCCTGTTTATTTTAAGAAATATTTGAAGAAATAGAATCGGAAGAATTGAAGTTTACAGGTGATCGCTGTTCTAGTAGTTCTTGGGTGCCAACTTTAATAGCATTCTTAAAGTCTTGATATCCCAAAAATTGGTTTAGATTTTTATCATTTTATACTTGGTGTTCTTTGATTAATTATTTGAAATAAGGATGTCTCATACACTACGATAAATTGTTATAATACTTCTTGCGAACTTAATCTATAAGAAACTCTTTTTAAGAGCATAGATTGAATTAGATCCTGCATTTAGATAGGAGCCAATTTGAAATGATGTTCTTTAAAATTGATTTCACATAGTCTATTATTCTTAAGAATAGATTTTTGATCGTTTCCAAAAAATGGTGTATTTCCAGTCTAAAATATAATAAAGTTAAGTACAATTAAAAAATATAAAATGATTCCGACACTAAAAACATCACATTTATCAGTATAAAATTCTTAGCCATCGTTATAATCTAAGATTTCAGGAGCAACAAACCCAGGAGTACCACATCTTTTAAATAAAGGTTTGTCATCCAAACATGTAGCCAATCCAAAATCTGCTAAAATGATTTCATGGTTATTTTCTGTTGATTTTAACAAAAGATTTTCTGGTTTCAAATCTCTATGAATTATACGATTTTCGTGCATATGATTTAAAGCACTTATCAAATTGAATGCGAGCTTTTACATCGTTTCTGCTGGTAAAAAGCCTAAAAATTTATATTATATACTTTACCTATCTCTCTCACTTTTGTTAATAGTTCTCCCCCCTATATCATATCTAGTATAAAATAGACTGAATTGGTGGTTTCATGTACTTCATATAATTTCACTATGCTCGGATGGTTTAGTTTCCTCATTAATTTTATTTCATTTAGGAGACTCTCTACACCTTTAGATTGTTATAACATATATTCTTTGCTGAAAGCTTTTACTGCATACTAAGTGTTGTTTTCCTTTTTGGTTGCTTAGTATACTTTGGCGAAGTTGCCTTTCCCAATTATTTTGTATACAGAATAGGCTTCATGAAAGTTGGTTAAGATGGCAAATCTCTTGAAATGAGACTTCCAAATCTCATAATTCTCTTTGTCAGATGTGAATATTTCTAGACTCTTTCCTTAATAAGAAAGGTGAAACCCAAGTAATTATTCATCAGAGTTAAGTTAAACGAAGTTGTCTAAAGAAGCTTCAATGAATTAAACATGCATTGTCAGTAATGGTGCTCGCTTCAGATTTGCTAAAGTAACTTGAAAAATTGAGTCCTGACTCATAACAAGAAACTTTTTTTTAATCAGCCTGTCCTTTGAGCCAACAAAGAATTCATGCTCTAGTAACTCATTCTATGACTTATTATAAGAGATATAGATGTACATCAAGTAATCCCTTGTCACATGAACGCCAGAATGTAGATGTCGTTTAACCAAAGTCAAAAATTGATTTTAGCATTATGTCAATCAATAAATTATATATGATTATACTTTTAATTATTCAATCAGTTTTATTTGCTGTTCATTTAAGAATTTATATGTTGAACAGATTTCTCATCTAAATTCAAGGTTTTTGCCATATGGTCAATAAATTATTTTCTAAATTCTGTTACTAATTTCTAGCATCTCTAATACTCCTCTGATTATACATTCGGTTATTACTTTTTGTCTATTGCTAAAAATAGAATGTTTTCCATGCATTGATTAGCCTCCTTTTGAAGTTAATTATATTCCATCTTTGTTATATCATTTTCCATTTAAACAATTAATAATATATAAATCTAATATTCAATATGTTTGTTTTTATTAAAACACTCCCCTGAAAATTTCAATTTTACTTAATTGAATGTTCCCTCAAAAATATAATTTTGAATGACCTATTTTTGTTGAATAGACAGCTTTTGTTTAAGTGAAATTGTAGACAAATTGATTCAACAATTTCTATCACTATATGAGATGCTTGAAATGATAAATCAGTTTTATTACAAACGGTGTCACATTTAATAAATAAATAAAATTTTTTTTCTCAATTATGTACTCACTATTTCTATATATTACTTGTGATAAAAATAAGTTATTCTTCTAAAATTAGTTCAGATATATAGCTAAAGACTATAATAGTAATTGTTGATAAACTAGAAGAGTTTTTATTTTATTTTTACAATAACTGATTAAAATTCTGAATAAAGGAACCTTGGAAATTTTCTCTAAAATTTAATATTAAGGAAAAAACAAAAAGATGAAGGATACTCAAATAGTGAAGATTTTCTCATATTGAAGATTGTTTTTGCAAACTAAAATAGCCTCTTCTGACTGATATGTATAATATAAAAATTAGTAATTATATTATCGTTTAAACAATGAGTAATAGTTTCTCACAAGAAATATAAACATCCTATCAAAAAACGATTACAAAAAGCCAAAATGTTCAGAGAACAACTGATGTTGATTTCCAGGATGCAGTTCAAAGATATGAATTGAGAAGATCTTCAAAGCCAAAGAAGCAAATGATCAATTAAAAAAATGGGGTCGTTGAAAATTAATATATGCAAATAGCAACAGATGATAATGAAAACAATTATAATTTCCACAGTTCAAGTCATTCGTAAAGAATTGTCCAAAAATATACCAATATTAGTAGTGCTAAAGAAGTCAATAAGTACAATGTCTAGGAAGTTAAGGACGATTATGAAAGGGGGAAATGTATGTTCTAAACAATGTTTAATAGCCTTAGGTTAATTATCTAAATCTGAGAAGAGAAACTTTGCAGCTCCTAAAACTGAATATGATGAAGAATACACATAATAAAAAGGGGGTGTATTAAATTACAATGCCATTTAAAGTAAACTTAAATTGAGTATTTTAGCTTAGTAAATTACATATTAGATATAACGGCTTTA